GTAGAGCAGGTAATGGAGTTTAACTACCTGGGAGTGCAAATAACCTCCAGTCACAATAGAGGCAATGAAGTAAGGGTCCAAGCAAACAAGGCTAGCAGGATAGCAGGTGCTCTACGAGACGTAGTATGGAACAACAAACACATGGGGAAACAGGCTAAAACTAAGATCTGTAAAACTTGCGTACGACCCGTATTGACATACGCTACAGAAACCCGAGCAGACACCAGTCGCGCCAAAAAAATCCTGTAAACAACGGAAGTGAAAATTCTGAGTAAAACGAGGGCGAGATCGAGGACATACTCAGATGGGGACGGAAGCGTCGTAGAGCCTGGAATGACCACGTCACTAGAATGAATATGGACAGGGTAGCAAAAATTGCTCGAGAAGGGTTTCCACAGCCACGCCCACTACTGAACAGACCTCCCAAAAGATGGAAAGACTCATGGACATCCATATCCCAAGAAAATTAAGTTGGAAAATGCAAGCCAAAGGCTTAAAATATGAGGAAGAAGAAGAAGATGACGAAGACATGTATGGAACACCAACAATAAAAGGTATCTTTAATCGCATAGAAATGGCTACAAGAGAAGTAGGACTCAATATTGACGATGAAAAGACAAAATATATGTTCATAAACAGACAGGGACGCAGAGATAGAATAGGACAGAATGTAACAATAGACACTTTTAATTTTGAACGAGTGGAGAGTTTCAAATATCTAGGAGCTACAATTACAGCCGATAACGATGTCACAGAGGAAATAAAAGGCAGAATTCAAGCCGCAAATCGTAGTCTTTTCTCTGTAAACAACTTTTTCAAGTCCAAAAGCATCTCAAGAACCTCAAAGGTGAAGAAACCATTGTAAGACCAGTAATCGCTTATGGATGCGAGACATGGACAATGACTAAAGCTAATGAAGAAAAACGTAGGCGTTTTGGGAGAAAGATTTTTGGTCCCCACCATGACCCTAATAGCAACCAGTATATCGCATCAGGATATTGTCAAAGAAATTAAGTCCCAGCGTCTATGTAAGATGATATGGGCATGTTCATTGACTACGAGATGACAGATTGACGATACTGTGTCTATATGCATGGTACGCATTCCAGTGATGATGACATGCAACAAAGCACTAAAAATATTTTATTTCGATAAAAAGATTAATCTAAAATCTGCTTTATCACTAAAGTGCGTCATCAGAGCTTAAATCATAATTAAGTAATTATTTTTTGTTCATGTTCAAAACTAGTCAATTTCATCGATCCAAAGTATTCGATTAGCAAAATGGTATTAACAAATTCCACTCAAACGAGATATTTGTTTGTAATACATACATACATACATACTGGAAGCAACTTCCAGTCCTTATCAACAAATTGCTTTGACGTCAAGACAGTGTGTCGCCTACCTTCAGTGACCTTTATGAATCACCCAAATACGTGTTTTATTAATTCGCCGTTTAATCTATAAATTAGTCAAATAAACGGTATTAATTTATGCCACCAATATAAGTTAAGTTCGTTGTAGGTGTTTTATTGAACTAGATAGACTATTGAGGTGCCTTTATTTGGCGGACTGAAATTTATTTAAACACAGAATTTCCCTTTTCACTTTTGATTTAATTTTGCAAGTAAGAGAAAAAATGGTTTCAAGTTTGATTTGAAGAATTCAATATTTGTAAGTATTTCACACGATTTTGAACATCTTGTGGCGGTACAAGTCATAAAATTAACGTTCAGAAAAAAAACTTGTTGAGATCACGTTCATATGATCATGTGATCATTTTTTGCCGCATCTTTATACCAAATTGTTATATACTATAGATACCAGTTAACCTTAAGACTTCTTAACTGACTTAGATATTTAACTATTTCTCCCGCAGGACTTCTTAACTTGTTTGTTTGAGTTTTGCAAAGAAACCAGCAAATACGAGGAAACGCACAACTTTGCAACGATACCAAAAATGGTTAGTTATCTCAAATTTGGTTGAAGAAATTAATTATTGCAATTTATTTAACAAAAATAGACTAACGAGTCTTTTAACGCGTCTTCGTTAAAAATTAAGGGCATAAGTTTACTAACAAAATTAATGCAAAAAATGAACGTTTTATTTGGACTTACGTTAGTGAAGTTGACAAATGCCCGGAATCTACTCAACAAAAGGTTGATACCAAAAAATATATGTAAGTATCGGGTATAGCTTTAATATCTAAGGTACAATTTTTTTTAATATCTAAGGTATAAAGGTTTGCTCGACGCAGCAACTATCTCTGAAGATGCAAAACGCTGCGAATGCTTGCGAAACGCCAGGAAAAATTATTTTCTCAAAGCTCTAAAAACTGAACGCTTTCGAAAACAACGACAATTTTAATGATGGAAACTTTTGTATGGGTATATCAACACTTTTCATAATATCTCTTAAAGTATTTATGCATTCGAAAACCAGATGTTTAAAAAAGACAATTTAACCGTAGAGTACTAATATGATTTGATTGTCATGTA